TGTCTCCTCTTCCTCTGTTTCGTCTAATTATGATTGTGAATGTTGAGAAACAAATGTCAAACTGAAGATTCCGATTCCGGCATTTTAATGACGCAGATATAAACTCAATAGAAGGCATTGTTTAACCTTGAATTTCTTTTAACTGGTATCTTGAAATTAGCGTAATTTTGCACGCACACTGTAGCGGTGAAAAGGGTATTAGTTCACCAAAAAGGTATGAAGAAAATACATTTATCAAATACTTTAAAGGATCGTTTAACCAAATCAATGCAGAATGGATATTTGTAGTTAGTGACCCATCCATTGATTCTGAAAAGGAAACGAATAACGGTGAAAGTGGTACATAGTCCGAAAGAAAATTGGCCATTTTCCTGAAAGACGAGAACAATACGTATTATTATACTTCACGTTAAAATGCCAGATTTTGATTGGCTAATACGAGGGAGACGATTTACTCTATCCCATGGCTGAGCGGGAGACAATTTTTTTAATGTCACCCTTTCGTGCAGACCAATCAAAAATCGATAATTTAAGGACAATAAATTGAATTTACATCAAATAATTAAAGACAATGCTTAAGTTCTACGTTTTGGCCCAGAACTTTTTTTTTATAGACTGTCAAAATAAAAAAAAAAACATCTTTCTTCACGTCTGTTGATTTCTCTAATATTTGTAACGTTGTAATGTACGTGACGTCATTGTAAAATACTTTAAATTTAAAATTCAACAGTAAAAGACAATAATGATAGGACATTCAGTATAATAAATCAAATAACTCATAGCTGAGAGTGTGATAGAGCAGATTGGTACCCCTCGAAAAACATTGTCAACCTTGACTTCTCCTCAGTTGACAATGTTTTCTCGGGGTAACAATCTGCTCTATCATCCTCTCAGCTATGTGTTATTTATATAAAGTTATTTATTAGAAATGCTGATAGAATTTTAAATAACTACAGTATGCTGAACTATGGATACATTTAGTCCTTATCCAATATTTGAGGGTCTGGATGGGGTTCCTTTATTTCTGTATTCTTTAATTTTGTAGGTTATTCTTCACGATTCTTTATTTTTTTGCCCAATTTTTCTCTTTTCCTTCTTTTATGCATTTTTATGTATATTTGGCTCATTATTGTCTATTCTGTAAACCCCATCAAGAACTTCATACTTACCTGACACAATTAATTAAAAGAGATGTTTTATTATTAAGCATTCTAGAGTCTAAGTGGATTTCTAAGTTTTTTTTATGTGACCCTTGCATTATTAGTTTCAGATTTTTTATTTTGTATTTATGAATTCTACTTAACATAATTGACGGATGAGGATGTAAAAAATTGAAGCATGCAATTTTCAAAAACAGCCACATCATTTTTAGGTGGTTAATTTTACTCATGGTCGTAAACATGGTATATTCCTATTCAAAGTTGTGCACTCAGTATTTTTAAGTTAGAGAAACAAAGACTAGTAATTTCAGACAACCATAAGATAGGCTGTGAGTTAAAAAATGGTGTCTGAGTAGAGTGGGTCTTATTCCAACAGAATGCTATTCATTTTCATGAAGATGATAATCGCATGCAACAGTAAGAATATTAATGGTCGTTGAATACATCGATGTTCCCCAAGAACATACTTGAAACATTTTATTTATTCGTCTGTGGGACGAGTACGTTACATCCAGTCATGTGTACAGATGATAGGACGGACCTAAGGACTTGGGTCAAGACCGTATAGGTGAAAATCTGCACTGATGTTTACAGGTAGATGTCAGCCAGGTTTTTTTACAAGAGTTCTCTTCCTATGCCAAAAAAAAATTTCTCCGAAGTTTTTCGATTTTCAAATGGCAAAGTAAAATCTGATGTTCAGTAGTTGTCGTTTGTTGATGTGGTTCATCAAGTATTTCTCGTTTCTCGTTTTTTATATAGATTAGACCGTTGGTTTTCCCGTTTGAATGGTTTTACACTAGTAATTTTTTGGGGCCCTTTATAGCTTACTGTTCGGTGTGAGTCAAGGCTCCGTGTTGAAGACCGTACTGTGACCTATAATGGTTTACTTTTATAAATTTTGACTTGGATGGAGAGTTGTCTCATTGGCACTCATACCACATCTTCTTATATCTACCAATTAGCGACAACCAGACATTGTCATACATGTACAAAAGAAGAACACTGAAACAATTACATAACAGACTGCATTTTGAGAGTCTTAATCACCTTCAAATCTAAAACCAATAGAACATTTATACAGTTGATAAAATCAGCTTATATACAAAACTTATCGACATGCATAATCCATTAAGTCATTACGACGGCAAAAGTGATGAAATTGAAGAATATATAGTACCGGTATCAGAAACAAATATCATAACTAATTTGTTGTACAAATGATTGACAGGTCGATTCAATTAGTATTTCGGCTTGATATCGGATAAATTTTTAAAGATAATATGTAAATAACGGAAATTCATTTACGACTAAGAAATATATTATAATATTCATTGTGAGTGTACTTGTGCCAAATTGTTACGGTCGCATCGTTTATGCACTGAATATTAAATAAGATGAATTACATGTATCATGGTTCTATTTTTTATATGAAAGGAATGCTTTTTAGCTTTTGTGTATATTCTCGAAGTTTGTTGTGTGGTTTTAATTTTCTAAATGTGATTAGATGCATTCTTTTTCAAAGTTGCGTAAGGATATTTACATCCCTTTGAGTATCATATTTTTTTTTGTGCGAAAAGGGATAAGCATCGAAGAATGAACTACGCGTATTTAAATGACATACAATGCATGTAGTACTAAAATGTGCCTACAGAGTTGCTGTTTGGTGATGAATTATAAATTAAGTGTTGATTGCTATGCTATGTTGATGCTGTGTTGATGACATGTATGAGAAATGGTTCATCGTATAGCAATTTTGCCAATAAAATACCAAAAAGGAGGGAGGGGGTTAATTTCTAAAAGGGACAGATAACACCATGAACAATATAACAATCCTTTTTAAAATTCTCAAATTATATAAAAATGAACTATAGCCAACTATATAGTATGGGTTTTTCTCATTGTTGAAGGCCGTACGGTTTTCATCCACTTCATTTGAACTTTAGTGGATAGTTGTCTCATTGGCATTCATTCCACATCTACTTATTTTTATATAAGTCATGCTTTTTCTTAGATTGTTCATGATGCCTTAACATTAGATCCGTTCAATGTTTACGGATTGATACTTAAGTCACGCACTTTGAAACAGCTTTCAGTAACTGCGAGTTCTCTTATATCGGTGGTTTGTGTCTATTATCTTTATGTTATTTATTTTCTGTGCTTAGTTCCGATCTATTGAGTTTAGCCATTTTTTTTATCTTTAAAATTTGTTCTTATGTATTGCTGTTACATCACTGTCTAAGGTTAGGAAAAGGGTTGAACTCTCACAAACATGTTTAACCCCTCCACATTCTTTATGTGCCTGTCCCAAGTTGTGAGCCTGTAGTTCAGTGATCGTCGTTTGTTCGTGTCTGTCATATTTGTTTTTCGTAAATTGCAATGTTATAAATGATGCCGTTAGTTTTTTCGTGTGAATTGTTTTACATTTTTCATCTCAGGGCTTTTTATAACTGACTATACAGTATGGGTTTTTCTCATTGTTGAAGGTCGTACGGTGACATATAAATACCTAAATACTCGTCATTTTAACTGTGGACTGTTGTTTCATTTGCAAACATACAGCATCTGCCTATTTGTATATAGATATTCCAAAAGAGTGATCATTTTAATTAAGTTCATAACATTTCTTTAATTCTTCCTTTCCTTTTGATATTAGAATTTATATAGAAATTTATGGTACAACGGGGTGACAATTAACGCATGCTCTAGAACTACAATCTGTGACATTTATATAAAAAGGTGTAGAAGTTCTTTGTAATTAGAATCGAAGTTTGGAAGATAAATCAAGCAAAGTAACTTGCAAATTTTATAAACCTACGTACAGAAAATACCAACTTTTTACAACTAGAATGAGCAATCAAAATAATCAGATAGAACAGAAAGGGATTCTAAAAATTCCATGCATTCACAGATGATAGATTCCTAATAATATTGTTCAAGGATTTCTGTCTATATTGTAAACAAAACAATAACACCAAAGCTACTCTAGGGAGTAATCTAAACAAAGATATCTTTGATTAAAAAAAATAAAACATAGTATTAACCCATCATACAATCTATTATCTATCAGATAAAAATTCACTCTTTATTTACGACCCAGTTATTAGACCCGAAGGCAGAGGATTCATAAACATTTGGCCGGAAATGCTATTTAAAATGAAACATTTTTCATTATCCGTAACGTTGAATTGTTTTTATATTACCTAATAGTTGTTTTGTATCTTATCCATATTTGTGATGCACTTTAAGTACAAACGGATGACAAACGATGTCGAGAAGCAGATGAACTGAAGATCGGACAACCCACTATTGAAGTTGTGTATTGAATAAAAATGCAGCAGGACATGTGCTCAATATAAACTATGTGTCATGTGTTTAAGTTTGTTCCTAACGTTTTCTAACACATTAGATTGTTAATTGTATCTTCAGTTTATTCCTGAACAACCTCAGTGATCTCATGGTAGCGTGGTCGTCTTGAGTGCGAGAGGTCGTGGGTTCCATACCCGACCAAGTCAACTCAAAGACTTGAAAATTGGTATTTGCTGCGTATCCGCTAAGCACGCGGTATTTAGGAGAAAGACTAAAACGGTTCGGCTCGAAGTCCGAATAAGGTAAAGTGACCGACGGACTGTTACCTTGTAAGCTAGCTGTTCAAATTCCTGCTCCGGGTCTCGGTCAAATACGAATCAGGGTTCAATTGATTTCACATTAACTTGTTGTCGTCTTTATATGCATGTGCATGTCACTACCAGTGGGCGTTAAACACCAATCGGTCATCATCATCATCAGCATCACCTATTTATTCTAATCTATTTTAAATATTTCTATTTCTTTTATTTTTAGCCAGAACTGCTGATAACAGCATAGACTCGTCGTACCAGAGGACGGGAAGGGATAAACGAAACGTTCAAAAATTTACACTTGGTGAAAAGTATCATGGATTTAACAGATCGGTAAGTTAAAGAAATGACAAGTCCAGCAACGTCAAAATTTCTAAATAAAACCGCTGTTCCTTTGGTACACTTAAACATGTTAAATTGGTAGTTTCCTTGTTACTATGAGAATGTTGTCTCATTCACATCCACTCCATGTACTGTTCTTCCTGCAAATGATATTAAAACTGCCTTATTTATGCTATTAGCCAAGTAACAAAACCTGTACGACATAGAATTAGTTTCAAGAAAATTGCTGCATATCATATTGATTGATTAACGAAAGAGCTGCAGAGAAACTTTATTTTTGGAACGTCCTTGACATTTTCACCTACTTAAGATAATCACAATGTTTCCCTAAATACCTTTGTATAGAAAATTTCCCTATCGTTTCTGTTCTTTGAATAGAATGAATTTTCATCGTTTCTTCAGCATTGATATGGAACGTTTAGAATTATTGACGTGGATTATGGGAAATACGATAAAGTAGACATATTTTCGTGGATATTTCGATTCAATTGTCTCCCCTTGTTCTAATCATTCGACACGCTGTGTTACTTACATCATTTTGAATGTTTAAATTTGTTATTTCTTTTTTATCATTAATTACGAGTATCAACGCAAGCACAATGGGTTGAATCGAAGACAATCTTATCGTTTGCATCGACGAAAAAAGTTGATTATTTTTTGGGTTATCTGGTTGTTTGTGTCGTCGGGTGTCTGTCTCATATTTGTTTAGCTTATATCTCCTTTGAGTCATATTAAAAATAAAGGAAGACAAATAACCAAGCAGTTATCACCGACCTCCCTTAAACAATCTTTACTAAAGCTATTAAAGTCGGCGTCTAACAGTTTTACATGCAGAACAGACATGGTTTTCCCGTTTGAATGGTTTTACACTAGTAATTTTTGGGGCCCTTTATAACATGCTGTTCGGTGTGAGCCAATGCTCCGTGTTGAAGGCTGTACCTTGATCTATAATGGTTTACTTTTATAAATTGTTACTTGGATGGAGAGTTGTCTCATTGGCACTCATACCACATCTTCCTATATCTATAACTACTTGTAATTTGACTGCAATATGAAACTTAACCGTCCTCAGCCACGAATCTAGATAATGTACAGTGTGTACTTTCCTTAAACGCATTATTTGCTTCTGAAACAATATTTGGATTAACCTTCATTGGAATCGAAAAGAGAAAGCAATTCGGAAAAAGAACTGTTCACTTTCATGGGAATGTATGAAGTCAACGTTAAGAAAAGCAGGAATGGTGTTTATGATGTGATGAAGGGCCGGATGTTTAAAAAGCCATTGAAAAAGTGTATGTTTGATATGAACAGATATCTTGCGTTTTAACAACAGACTTCTCAAAGAATTGTTGCAATGTTTCTGTTGTGTACAGAGAGCTTAACACTCTCCCTGGACAAGTCAAGTCATCATAACCTACTTATATTTATATAGTTCAACAATGCCAATGCTGGTATGGATTACGTGCATGTGCGTTATACAATATGTCATTTTTCATTGTGCCATCTGCAAAATAGTATGTTGCTGTTAGCGAAAGCTTATTTGTGGGACTTCATTTACAGAATCCATGTTATACATTGACTTATAACGATTCCCTAAATAACCGAGATCTATATAGTGACTCGGTAGAAAATTGTTACTCTATATCAAGATATATACATGCAAGAATGACAAAAGCCATAAACACACTGATACAATTCAATTAAGGTGGCTGGGGCGTCTTAATTAAAACTGATAGAATTTTTTAATAATTTGTCATAATGAAGTTTTTATCATGCTTTTTTCAAAAATATAATAAAAAGTATGGGTCACCGGACTTTTTCTCACGCTACAGATTGTGCAAAATCGTCAGATTTTGTATAGATTATGCATGGAAAATCAAATTGTGTGTGATAAAAAGAAAACTACATGATAGAATTTTAAGATAAAATGTGAGAAGATAGCTCTTATAACATGCTTTCAGATAAGAAAAAGAAAAAATGGGGTCATCGAACTTGTTTTCTTGCTACAGATTAAAATAGGTAAATTCACAACACTTTCTATTATAAAAATTACTTTATCTGAGTTATCTCCCCTTATTTGGAAAAGTTGAAAAAAAATTAATCAAACACAAATCAGGTATTTTTTAAAAAAATTACAGCCGTAATTATGATAAAACCCACAATTTTCTATATTTACATCAAAAGTCTTACACATGAATTACATACTACTCTCAAAATTTGCACATTTCATCAAAGATCTAGACCAACGTTATCTGCTATTTCAAAAGCCCAAAATGGAGGAAGACTCCCGAGCCACCTTAATAAGATATACAGGGATATCAGAGGAACAATATGTATAGTAATTTTTAAAAAATGATGTTGTATGATAGGTAAAATAATTATGTAAAATACGATCGAATTTATACCAGAATCAAAGTTTTATATCAATTTTTTAGAAGGATTGAAACTCATACACAAGACAATTCAATAATGATACTTTATTTCATCAACCACATAATTACGTGTACAAGAGTATACACGAATAAAACAACACAAATGCACAATTTTTGAAAAAGTTCTAATACCGTCAAGTATAATTGTTGATTCACGTTTTTCAGTTATAATTTGTAAATCAGTATTTCGTTATTAATTTCTGATTTTGTAAAAATCAGCTGGAAATGGTTTGATCGATTCATCAGATCGTCAAGAACCACATAAACAACAAGCATAAAGACAAAATACACAAAGTAGCCATCTTAGATTACTCGTCGTTACTGAAAGCTAGATCAAAGACAATAACAAAAAAAAACAAAAAAAACAAAAAAAAACAACAACATAGAAAATAGGAATCGTGGGACTTTTGTCAGATTTCTCTATGACATATTATTTTACAAAAGAATGAAAGAACGTCTTTAATGCAAACTAGTTCAAAGTCAACTCTAAGTAATAGATAAAACCCAGAATGGAAAAACCTTGTCTTTTAATTACACGAAACTGGGCTATGAACTAGCTTTTAGTAAGTACATGTTAGTAATTAATATTTCGTCATTTTCTTAGCTTTCCTTGTCCTTAGCATGTATGATATTATTGATTAAGTCATTTTCAACTGGTGTTTACATGTTGTACTGGTCCAGTGTGTGGTGGAGACGGGGTTGGGGATTGGAGCACTTGCACACATGCTTCAACTCGCCAAATTGTGTCTACCTCAAGCCAATAATATGATGTTCAGTGGCTGTCTATGATAACTGTGCTCAATATTAATTCATTAAATGAGGCCGATGGTTATCTCTTTTGAACTGTTTCACATTTTTGTATACCGGGATCTTTTATAGCTTACTATACAGTATTGCTTTTGCTCGTTTGTTTTGTTATTTTTCTGATTGACAATTTTAGCATAACCAGTATAATACTTTCTCCTTAATACTTTCATATTACGGAGATATTGAAGTAAATGAAAAAAAAAAAAAAAAAAAAAAAATAGAATACCACCAGAATATAAATACAATGTAAAATGAACAATTTAAGAATTAACCATAACACTGGTTGATTGTGTGACTGCGTTACAAATTACATTTTATTATGATCATTATAGAAACGCAAATCATAAAACCTGAATATTTCAGTCGAAAACAGGAATATTCTTGTCGATGACAAATGTTACTTAGAAATAAATAACCATGAATAAATAGTACAAACAGCAGAAAACAAACAAATAAGATAAACCAATAATAATTTAGACATTACACTAAAAACTCCAAAGAAACACCGAGAGACACCAAGCGCCCCAGACGGGTGAACAGAACTTGCTTATAATCCATAGATTGTTAACCTACTCACTAAAAAACTTTGTGTCAGATAAAAATAAAGGAACAAAGAAAAAGTCAACTAAAATCGGCTTTGCAGTGAACAAGTCCCGTGGAGAACGTGATGAAAACAAAAGATGAACGAAAACAGATTACAAAACAATTTGAGGTGTTTTGAAAGAGTTTTTAGCACAGGGGAAGCATTACTGCGATTATACGTATAAGATACCGTCTTCTGTGCGTTTACCTGATGGCTTTGACTTTTTTCTTGGTTTGTATTTCGACACCGGACACAATGGACAGCCAGAAATACAATTTTATTTAGTGTATGCAGATATTATATGCATGTACTTGACAACAGTGTATTGAAACCCTCCATCATTTTTGTATAGGGATACACCGTACCTATATAACCTTTTTTATATATACAATATATTTAGTTTTGTTTCATTGATTCATTGTTTCGTTGCTTTTTCATGAATAACATGCAAACACCGATATTAGATCATATAAGTATGCCCATCTATTAATAACTATTGAAATTGGTATGATCAGAATAACTTGCATGATCTTAGTTACTTACAGTTATATGTAACCTTGGCTTATTCATTCAGAAACTGAGAACAAAACACATATTCATATTCTACCAAAACAGTTATCTTAATAAGTACAATTGTAAAGCAATTTCAACATATCTTCAGTGAGCCTTTTGCATCATATAACAATACAAAGATCAATATTTATTTTCTGGAATCAGATTATTGTCGCCAGCTTAGTAATCGTTTTATGAGGGTTCAAAAGTGAAGCATTTGTCGTATTTCGCTAAACAATCAATACGAATGACGATGCAGGCTAAGGATTTATTCCTGTTCATTCTTAAAACAATTGAAGCTTAATGTCGATTGGCAAATATTTTATCCATATTCAGGACGATTACACATTAACAATAAACACAATTGCCAGTTTGGTAGGTTCTTCATGATAGGTCGACCGGGGAGAAGGGCGGGAAATTTGGACTACCACAGCAAAAATTTACAGCAGTCTTAAAGCAGGTTAACTTTAGACATATGAGTTAGTTAAGTACGCTTAGAAACAAAATCCCCCCCCCCCCCCCCCACCTAAACCCATGCACCGTTATTATTTTCCTTTTTTCACTTATACTCATTAAACTTAAACTTATAATATATCTGGATATTTTGTCATTTTGCACTAACTCTTGTATCTCTTGTATATTGCCAATCTCTAGATATCATATGCATTTTGGTGTTGTTAAGTTGCTGTCTTTTTGCCATATAACCAGCATTTTTTTTTATATTCCTATCTTATCATATAATTTAGGCCATTCCCAGACTCAATTTTACGACATAACAATAATGCCATGGGGAAAATTTCAAAGGATATTATTAGTCGTCGAGATCGTCACTGTTGTTGCTATAATGGTTTTTACGTACTATTTGTTTAAGAGAGAATAATTATAAAAATCAATTCACTAAATACTTTCATGATAGCTGCAATGTTTTCAAGTTGATGTCGGTGTCTAAACATTGCCTCAGAGGTCATTCTGGTGATAAATATTTCTGTCAATATACAACTGGGGCGAAAACTACTTGACAAATTTGTAAATCGCGTGCTTTTAGCGTGTCCTTGTATAACTGCTTGATGATAAATGGCTCCAATTAGCCAACAGTTTTTCTGTTCATCATTTCAGCATAGCATTTATTCGTTTTTAACTTTTAAATATTTATACGAATTATCAGTGACATATATTGCAAGAAGAGATTAGCATGTAACTAGTAATCTTCGAAGAAGATAGGGACGCACATTACATTTTTCAACATTTCAGCATTTGACACACATGCACCGAAAGTACTCTGATGTCATACATCTTAACGCTGCTTTCAAATGTTAAACAACATTGTTCTTAGATAGTCCAATTATCTTTAATGATATTCGCTTAAGGAAATGGAAACTCCGGTTGGAAGCTATCGTTCATTTTTAATTGACTTTTTGATAATATGTTTTTAACTTTACGCTAATATTTGACTTTTGTAATATGCATATAACATGTAATCTTTCAGTTCTATATGGTAATTACAATCAATTCAAGACAAATAGTTCGTGAAACAATCAGTGGAGTTCATATAAAAAAATGAATGTGCAACTAAGCGGTACATGCATGTTTTGAATATCAAAAATCAACATAATTATGCATTTGCAGCTAACATATTGCACTAACTTGACCTTTGCATTAGCCATTTGAAAACTAATCATGACATTCTTTCACGCTACACGTCTCGCCGTTTTCATGTTTAAGATACATTTTTTTCAAATTGCTTATTTGCATTTCCACTTTGGGTTTCCTATAACAACGATTAATTGGCCTATTTGTATGTTTTAACAAATGGGACTTATCCCGCGATTTGTATTAATGATGAGCAATGAAATGCTTGTCCTTCGGAGCACAATGGTCCGTCGATTTTTGGTAATGTGCGTTTTTTTAAAATTTTTAAGGTCTTATTTGTATCGATTGAGTGTCCTATTTGTAATTTTTTACAAAATGTGACTTATCACGCGATTTGTACGTGTCTTACACCACACGTCGGATGCCGCTAATGAGCAAGGAAATGTCTGTCCTTCGGAGCACAATGGTTCGTCGATTTTTTGTAATGTGCGTGATTTTAGATATTAGGGGTTATGTATAATGTAATGAGGCCTCTTTTTGTTTGTCTTTTTCTCTTTTATCTTAGCTTTTTACCATTTATGTTTGTCCCTTTGTTAGGTTGATTGTTGCTGAATGACCAGTGGCAAATATTCAATACATGTTCATTAAAACCCTTTGTTAGACCTGTGGTAACAATTAGCCTCCCCTCATATTTTTACTTTTAAAAACTTTGAAAACCCCCATTTGTATTTAACTACTGTTGTACTTCTACATTAATGACTCTCTAGACTTTTAACCTTTAACGCTGCTAATAAAAATAATAATCCAGAATTTCTCTTCAGCGAATTCAGAGATTACTATACATTTATTTTATGGACATCATGACGAGCAGCTGTATTATATCTTTGCTTGTTAATTTTCTAATTACAACGACTGACTGTTAAACAAGATTTCCGTCTTGTCAGATCAAGGTTGACATTTTGATTCTGCATCGATTCCAAGATCGAGCTTAGCTTTTTATAGGTCGGAGTCAGATAAATAAGGACATTTTGCTGTAAGTTTGCATTCTGATGGAAATAGACCTAATGAAATTAACATATTTATTATCCCACGCATGGAAGATACTGATACGCTTGTGTTTATGTCAGTTCTCATTATTAATTATATAGTTCGGGATTCATTGTAACGATGCTACGTCACCATTTTGATCTCCTGACAAGTTTAAACCAGATGAAAAACCAAACATTAAATTGAAAATGTATTAATGAGCATGTTCTCGATATAACAATTCGTCTATTTCGTACTTTTGCAGCATTTAATTGATAGAAATTTAACTTTTTATTTTGTTTTTCGTCGTTAAATCGTCGTTGTGCATATCTTCATGAAGCTGTCGGAACTCATTCATTCTATTCTATGTTTTCAGAATATCCTTAACTACTTGTACATCAGTTTTAAATGCTTTAAAACTGCAATTTAGTTTAAATCTACATTGTTCTACGATAAATTATTAACGCAAAAATTAAATTTGTTACTGTAATTCAAAGCTAAGATTATGTTGTAAAGCGCACTTGGTCGTCGCAACCCTGTGTCTCTTCGAATTTGAAATACAATATAACAATAAGCTCTTTAATTACAAAAAAACCCTAACACAGTGGAGACATATTGGTCAGAGTAGATATTTGATACCGTGCTGGTTTTACAAAACAAAACAAAATCATGTTTCTCAGACTTTTGGATTGAAAAAATATATATAAAACTTGGGAGATTGTAATATTAAATTATTGGAGTCATATATTCTATAATGGATATATTAATAATACCTTGCCTGAAAAATCAAAAGTTAGAGAGGAAAAAAAGATATGAGGGATGATGTACATGTATTGTGAAATATGAGAATAAAATATTTGCTGTGTAGAGTTCAAATGAGATGCTAAATGAAACATTTAGATTATGGAATTTCCATGCATTTGTCACATTTTTGCCTTTATAATTCCGAAAGAAGGATAATTCAAATATAAAAATGCCGTAATCCAATGCAGTATAATTTATTTATTTTTTTTATTAATGAACGTCTACTTCCAATAATGCTTCACCGTCGACCCCCATCTCCTGCTGATTGACTGTTGATTCCAAAGGTATCATCAGCTTGGAAATGAATGTTTCGAATTTGTTTAGTACACGTACTTTTCAAAACTTGAAACTTATTTTTTTTAATTTATTTTACAAATGTTGCAAACACGTCAAGTAGAGTTGACCTGGAATGGTTGTTTGCTCGTAAGAATTACTTATGATCCATAAACGATTTCATTTGAGACTGACATGTACACATCTTGTATAAAAATTTTCTTTTCATGTTAAAGCACAGAAGGTTCATTGTTTTCAGAAAAGATTTGGCATCAGCTTTGTCTTAGATTAAGTATCAATGAAATACTATTATTGCAAAAATCTATTACATGTAATTTTCTATCTATTTATATTCAATTATCGCATAATGACGATTTTTTTAAAACATCGTGTAATGCAAATGCAAAAAAAGATTGAGTTACAATTTTACTTTTTTTATTTTATAACCTTTTTAAAACGCAGACATCAACTGGGAATTCCTAATATGATACACTTAATTGTATATACTTGAGACAAATATTTGTCAGAGAGTACAAGATGGCCAGACAAATGTTCAAAATTACATTACTAAATAAGACTGAGAACACTTAATGTAATATCAAGAAATGTTAATCCTATAGGAACAGCTTACTCTCAGTGCAATAGATGACTGAACCTATTTAATCATATAAACTCAAATAACGAGACAAGTAATTAGTTTGTTGCTTTGTCCAGTATGTAAATTTGGGATTTCAGTGTATTTTTAGATAATTTCTGTGGTGCGTCATCTTGGGTTTAGTTTTGAAAACAACCTGTCACATGCAGATTCAGTTAGGAATCCCTTTGCAAATCGACCACGTAATCTTCTTCCCTTTGATAATTCATACACCATTTTCAGAAACATGAAGTTATGTTACAAAAGTTCCTGTAGTGAATCTGATATTATTTTTTCCAATGTTGCACTTTGACTGTTGAAAGTTACCTTAAATTTATATTTACATTGAATTTACTTTTATCACATTTCTTTCTACAATTACATTTCTGTATTTTAAATCTTCAATTATGGGTATATTTTTTCTTTTCAATGGCAATGCTTACACGTATTTGCTCATTAGTGAACCCTAGTTAATGAACAGCTCGTTTAATTACGAGAAGATGTGTCATATACATTCACCAGTCTATTTTTGTTTCAATACTATATTACATTTTACTTTGAATCGTTACTAAAATTCTAAAAAGTCATCTAAGCGAAACATTATACTTTACCTAGTTGAAAGAGTTAATGTGAAGGCTCTTTAATCTACAATATTTTCAAAATTAAATCTTAAATAAAAGTTTTTATGAAAATTAAACAAAGCGTATGTCCAAACTCTAGTTTAAACTTTTAATGTACTATTCGGGTGGCGGTTATAACTGATCTCTGAACTGTTCAAGACTTTGGTTAAGATTATGCATTTAGAAGAAACGTCTGAATATTTTTACTCAAATGTTTAGTGAACACTCACTATCTTTTTATAAAACATTTAAAGGTTGTCTATTCTCATTTAAATGATTTAGCCATATAGAATTCGTTGTACAAAACCTCGAAATGAAAATATGACGTGTTCAAACAGGTAATTCCTGACCATTATAATTCCCAAATCGACTTTCCAGTGTCTTGGAATGGGGTTTCAGTATTTCATTTGACAGTGGTTTTTATCACTAAAGCTTTAACAAATCTGGGTGTGTTTATTTTGAATAAGATAAATATAAGAAATGCCTGTTAGGAATATGACAGTTGTATTAAATTCGTTTGATGTATTTGAGCTTTTGATTTTGCCATTTGATAAGGGACTTTCTTTTAGAATTTCCCTGGAGTTCAGTATTTTTTTTATTTTACTTTTTTCTTTCAGCTTTCCATATTGGAAGAGGAATTTATCTATGCTGCAGAATTTGGGGACATTCCAACCGTTCAAAAAATAATTGATGAGAACCAATCATTCAATGTCGATTACCACGATATAATAGGGCGCACTCCATTACGTCTGGCAGTGGGAAATGAACACCGAGAGGTAAAACAGTTTAAATCACAACACTGAAACCTCAAGAGTGACATTTCAATTTACCGAAGCAGTATAAAATTAAATACTTCCTGAAATAAAGATTTCTAATTTGCAAAAAAGAATTTCTGTGAACTACAACGTAGTAATATCGATCTCCCTCAAATTATGTATTATGTAGTAGATATTGTCTTTAACGAGAATCAATTTCCAGTTTCCGGGCATTGTTTCAAAATAAATTGTTATGTTTAATTTGACATAACTGTTATGATACAACACATAAGTATTCCGCTGTGGGATTTTGCTGATTTATCAGATGTTATGCATAGGAAGCTGAAATCAGAGCCTTGAAGATTTGTAAGAGATTTCGACGCACGAAAGAAGAGAGTGGCGGCAGAGAAGTGACACATGTCTACTTGTCGAAAATTAACTTAAACATACCGTAAATGTCTTCCAAAAAGTAAAACAAAAGGTGAACAAGGCGTACAAATTACAATTAACAAAACCGAGTTTAACCATGCTTTTTTTTATATATTGGAATAACAATCTGCTGTATAACCCTCTCAGCTATGCGTTGGTTAAGTACAATGTATCTCCATACTGACCATTAAAAAATCGCATTTTAAAACAAATTATGATAAAAACGATTGTTAAGGATGTTTGATCCTCTGTTTCAAAATAAGAAGCTTTTAAACGACTGTTTTAAATTCATAGTATATAATTAACGAAATTAAAAGAGCACAAAAAAATGAAGGGTCCGTGTCCTTGTTTTAGAGTTACAAACCATTGAAAATTTGTGGGGACATGCTTCTCTCTAGACTTTTCATACATGTTGCATTGGCAGCTTTTTTTCTTTAAAAAAACTATGAAAACTTACAAGGATTTTATAAGATTTTTGAAAGTTGATTTTTAAACTATCTGTAAAAAAGTATGAAAAGGTGCTAGCGGGAAAACTTTTTTAAGGCACTAAACAGATGAATCTAGAGGGTTCCGAATATCTGACAAAAAGTCAAAAACAAGAGTAGCGAACATCGTTAAACTTAATGATTAATCATTGACGTCTAAGATGTTATGGGATATTTCTGAGTTAAAAAAGATTAGCAAAGAATTCTGGATTAAACTTTTAGTTTTTTCTATGTACATGTACACGTAGCTAAAACTTCAAAAACATAAATATTTTTGTAATTTTCTGATTACCTAAGTATGATAAAATCTGACCAACTTTGTGCATAATCTTTGATCATTTTTAATTTCATTCTTTTTCTTATATATCGAAGTCTCTATGATAAGTTTTAATATCTTATGGTTTTAAAACAAACATAATTTTAGTAAATATATCATTATCATTTCAAAATGCTGTGTACATTTAGCAAAGAAAATAAAGGATAACACTTCAATGAGACAGCAACTATGATAGCCACAAAACACGCAATCCAATTCGCCATTTCAGAATCTAATGCATTCTGGGTAATATTTTCAAGAGCGTGAACAAAAACGTTGTGATTGGTAAAAAGTACTTTAACTTAATAATGCAAATTCACCCAATGACGTAACGTTATTTTCATTTTGATGTACGAACAATGAGATTACCCATAGTCCTCTAGATTCTAAAATGGCGAATTCCAAATCCAGTTGAAATTGAACCATTAAATCTAAATCCACGTGTTGTGAGAGTGTCACTATCGTCTTTCCAAAAAGGAAAAAAAGATGGTCAGATACTTTTATTTTTCCTTTTTTATTTATCAAAAGCCTATCTGGCCTGGCCAACTATGAGTTGGCCTTACTTTGGTGTCGTCTTGTGGCTTTTGAATTTCATTTGGCTAACATTTTGTAATTGCAATCTCTCTGACGTTTACCTTCATCTATTGTATTCTTATTAGAACAAAAAAATATGGTTTGATTTAGGTATATGGATATTTCGAGGAGACTCATTTAAATCCTAAACAGAATAGAACATGACAAAATCATATTCAACTATACAAATCTAATTTGTCTAAAAGTGGGTAATAAAGAAAAATCAAAACTGTTGTCTGACTCACAGAAAAACACAAAAACACTATCAATGCTTGTTAAACTTGAGACATAAATTGAGAGATGTATTTTCCCGTGACGCAATACTCGCTGATACTAATCAAAGGATGGAATATTGAAAAGCAAAAATACTAACCATTAGATAAATTGTTTCATTTATGAACAATTCTAAGAGATATGTAGACATAAAAATGTTCTCTTTTAGATGCTTATTATCGATGATTTGGCGATAAAAACTCCCATCATCCAAATCATTAAATGATATTTAACGCTTTTTTCCTGTTGTTTTAGGTTGTAGAGCTACTTTTAGATCGTTCAAACATCGCAAATATACATGAAGCATTGCTACAAGCAATTAGTGCTGGCCATGAACAAATAGCTGAAACCATATTGAAACATCCGAAATACATCGACGTTAAAAGGGAAAATAAACGTTTTGGTGAAACAGACTACTTTTTTAACACAACAAGTGAAGATTCACCATTTTCTGCAGATATTACTCCTTTAATTTTAGCTTCAGAACGAAATCAATTTGAAATTATTCAGTTATTGCTTCTTAGAGGCGACACAATTAATAAACCACACCACTATTACTGTAACTGTCAGGAGTGCAGCAACAAATTACAATTTGATCAGCTGAGACTTGCCAAAACAAGATTAAATGCATACAAAGGACTCGCTAGCGGTGCTTATATATCCTTATCCAGCAAGGATCCAATTTTAACAGCATTTGAATTAGCGAGAGAACTCAGACGAGTGGCTAAAGTTGAAAAGTATTACAAGGTAAAATTTAAAACAAATTTTTCAGAATAATTGAAGGTAATTTCAGTTCACATGTTCTTAATTAAGGTTTTAAATGAACATTTACACAGATATGCAAACACATTTTGTCGTTGTTGCTGAGTATGAACTTCTAGCAAAGGTCAACATCTAGAACATAAAATTTAACTTTGACCTAAAGCTCAATTTCAAGGTCAAAGATCTTATATCAATAGAACCCAGGTCTATAATATGTGTGGTTGAGGTTTAGTTCTACCAAACAGTTTTTTCATAGTAATATTTAAGGGGAGAAAAACTCCAGACCTATAATAGTCATTGGACCACTTCAACCCCAATGTACTGGCGTATTGTCATGTCGCACTTACAACTATCCTAAACTTCATGTTTATAACTTTTACGGTTTCTGAGGATTGACGATAGCTAGCAAAGTTAAACATTTTTTAGATGACCTTTACTATTGACCTTGACCTCAATTTCCTGCGTATTGACCATAGACCTCATATTAACAGCCTCTACTCTGTAAGACCTACGGTTTATGAGTTACCCGAACATACCTCTCATGTCAAACACAAAAAGGGAAATAACTCTTATTACATGTAACCGGACCGCTGGAGTCCAAATGTAACATGTCATCCCGAGGAAAAATTTTAAGCGGTAACTTTGGTGCTTTCTGAGAAAGAGCGAGATCAAGTATATTGACAAAACTCCAATATGGAAAAGTGTTCGGTTAAAAAGATTGAGTTTCAAAATAGCAAGAACATTTCGATACCACATACTAAATATCTTATCGACGTGTTGCAAAACAAAAGCTACATTTCAGGAACAAAAGTGGCGGGAGAAAAACATTTTAATCAGAACAAAATCAAAAGATCTTTCAACGGAAAGGTGGAAAGATTTAATGTCCACCTCTAGATATATAATTAAAATATGCTTTTGAAAGTATGATTATGATATTGGATTTTTGTTGAATTGAAGTAAAGCATATCTTTTCTTGAAATCACAGTAAATCACAATTAAATAAATCAAGAACAGTATCAAGCGTTAGGGCAAAAAAGTGAAACCAAACAAACAACAAACACACCAATTAAAGCTATTTAAAGTTTTTAATTTTAATTCTTATCATTTGACTATAAAAATGCTCTTTTCTCATTGGATAGAAACAAAGGGTAACTTCTTTGATGAAACAGTATAATCACCGCGGAAAAAATCGGGAGAGGTTACCGTTAATATAAGATTTGGAACAGCTAACGTGTACATAAATAGTTTTTTCCCCGGGTAACGTCATGCACATTCTAGTTTATCTTCTTCTTTTTTTTCGATGTCAATACTTTCAGGTAAATTTTATTGAATATTTCAACTAATAAAACTTTGCAATTGACAACACAGATACAATATTTAGTATAAAATCTAGAAGCAGTAAAATTCTCAGGCAAATACTAAAAAATCGGAGATGGATAAAAAAGTAATAATAATAATTAAAAACAATTGTTAACTTTTGATGATGTTGATCAAATATTTTATCAACCCCAGATATATAATATTCACTGAGGCCACTTTATTATTCAATATATAAATTAATAATGCTTATGATTTGAATTGACAGTATTTGTCCTTAAAAGTTTTGTCTTTGTTGTAAACCATTATTTCTTGAACATCATACTTTATATTACTGTCTATGTTGTCATCTTTTACAGTAATCGAATTGGGTGTGTACTGATTGAAATTCAAAGCAGGGTAACTTGGTTTGTTTATTAGCTCAAATTCGCTTTGAACTAAAGTACACTTAGGTGGACATCTTGTGTTTTGTTAAGGTTTTTTTGTAGTACTTAGTGCCGATCTGATGAGTCGAGTCATCTCCCACTGATTTTGAGTCTGTTCTTATGGTATGCGTTTTCACCACTCTCGAAGTGCATGGGAGGGTTGATCGCTCACAAGCATACAGTATTTAACCCAGAAATTTTCTTCAAATACCTGTCCCAAGTCAAAAGCTAGTTATACAGCTGTTGTCGTGTGGTTGCTATCTGTCATATGAATAAGAAGATGTGGTATGAGTGCCAATGAGACAACTCTCCATCCAAGTCACAATGTATAAAAAGTAAACAACCACAGGTCAAAGTACGACCCACAACACGGAGCAACGGCTCATGTTTGTTTCTCCTTTAATACACCTTATCGCTATTCCCGGCTGACCCGAGAATCTGTCCCGCTTGAACTTTTGACGTCATACAACAATCACTTTTCCATTGTGGCGTCAGATATTTTGTATTGTGACGTCAACATTTTACGGGAACCTGTGTGATGTCCAGTAATGGCGGACAAATAGCGATAAGGTGTATGTCTTGAGCATAAATCAGGCCGTTGTTTTATGTTTTGAATTATTTCATGTTTTTGTCATTTCGGGTATGTCTATCGATTCTAAAATGAGGGAAAGGATGCATATACAAATCAACAAATTCCATAAAAACTGAGAAAAAAAATATGCATGGAGCTTCAAAGTTCCTCCATATTGATTTTTAAATTTTAAATGTATTATCGCTCCCCTCTTCCCTACTTTATACTAATCGAGTCAGCATGTATCGTTTAAGAATTTGTTTATCAAACAAAATATGTCAATGTACAGCAATTCAACTATCCTTCAATCAGCTTTAATCTAAAATGCATAATATGGTTAAAATCACATTTTCATAATAACATCTCTCCCCGGAATTGACATTTCAGGAACTTTCATTAATAAAATCTTTTGCAGTTTATTTCAATTTTATTCTTTCCAATAGAAAGCAAAAGTTATTAGCAAGTTGCTGATTGAAGTATACTGTCTACAGCCAGCACTTTGAATCAGACACATAATAGTCTTCTTTATGCACAAATGTAATTGATTTGAATACAGACCATATCTCTAGAAATAAAAATTGTTATCACATGTACATGAATGAGTCTACTCTGTTAGTGAATTTCCTTTCAATGGGGTTGTGTTAAAATGTTCCTAAAAAAAAATTAACTGAACAGTTAATATGTTTTGTTTGTACTTGAGAAGTTATTTTAGCAATGCTATCAAAATAAAACAATCATACTGCTTAAATGTAAATTGCAACATGCGTATTAATTACTGTACATCCTTAACTATAGTACGTTGAAGATGGTGCTAGCATTTGTTGAAATGTATGTCCAAGTTAGTATAGAAATAAATATATAATAAGAAGAAGTTGTGTGTTGATGGCAGATATATATTTGATTCTTTCTGTTTAATTCATAATTATATAACTTAAATAGACGCGGACGATTAAGATCTAAAAATATTATGTGGACATCTATCTATTGTTGAAGATTGAGTTGCCCTTTATAGATATACTTTTGTTATTTTTGGCGTTGGGTAGCTGTCTCAAAATGTATATCCATCATCCCCTTGTCGTGTTGCTTGAAGTCTTTATATTTCTATGTACTGTTTGGTAGATTGCTGTTTGTCTTTTTGTCATTTTCTTGGACATGGTACATGTTATCTTTTTCTTCTACTTATGATTTTTTATTGGCCCTTTGGTATCGTCTGCCTCTTTTTTTAACTTAACCCAGCTACTCAGCATGTGCCTGTTCCACCCCCAGAACCTCGGCAGTACTTTGTCTTTGTTGTATTTAAATGAATTTTAGTAATTTGGAGAATTCAATGTTGATGGCAGATCTTTTAAAGTCTCTAATTTTTAACAACTTTAAACTCGGGATGAGCTTGACATATTATTTATACATCCTGAAGTAAACACCCGTCTACTATTGTCGAAGAAAGCACATAGTCCCCTAGATGTCTGTTAGTTTCCATGTTTCTAATGTATAATTGACGTATTATACTTCACACCTTCTTTTATTAATATATTTTATATAATGTGCGGTTTCTGATATCTTTTACATCTGCAGAAGGTTGGAAATTCATAACAATATACATTAATTGTCATTTTAGATTAATTTATCAAATCGTTGATTCTAAAAAAAAAAAATACGAAATAAGACCTATATATTTTTACATTCACAAACTATTTATAATTATAACAATTGTTGTAACCACAATTCCGCCCTCTTTTTCTCAATTGCGACAGCATTGAATGATACTTATCACTGGACTTTTACTAACCATGAGCAATTTGACTGGTATATGATCTGCTTACCCTTCCGGAGCACATGAGGACACTCGCAATTTTAGTTGGGGTTAATGTTGCTCCGTTTTTAGTTTTTTATGCATTATTTTGTGAACTTGTTTGTCTTTTCGTCTTTTTGTTTGTTTTTGTTTCCATGGCTGTGTCAGTTTTCCTTCGACTAATGAGTTATGAAAGTCCCCTTGGTATGTCCCCCCCCCCCCCCCTTTTTTTTAAATTTATCTTTTTTGTACATTTCACAGACGCATGAAGTGACAGCAAATAATACGTATACCCAAAACCACTTTACTATAAAAAAAAAACCTACCAAAGTTGATAAATGCTCGTCGCTTTGTTTAATCTTGAACACTAGTACGATAAAGTAATGTTTAATTTAGCGTTTGTCCATAACAAATAATATCATCAAATGCACTTTATCTAAGCGATATTAGATCAGCGAGAAAATGAGGCGTTAACTATGACAAGGCTAGTAAACACATGGCTTTGTGATTAAATAGATGTCGATACAAACTGATAAAGAGTGGAAACGAAAAATAACTCAATTACCATAAGAAACACATGGGACAACTTACGATAAATAAAGTATCCATGCATTGGCATTCAGTTGGCACAATTTATTAATTTAAATTGACGCTAGGGGGCGTTAGGTATTAAGGTCTTGTTTGTTGATAAGGACCGTGAGGAGCAAAATAATGTGAAGATATAAATCAGTATGCAAGGCATCCCTACATTTAAACTGTTAGTTTTCTCGATTTGTTTCACATTTTTCATGTCAGGGTCTTTTATAGTTGACTATACAGAGTGGGTGTTACTTATAATTGTTACACGACGTACGGTTGCCTATGATTCCTTACATCCACTTCATTTGAAATCTGGTGGTTCATTGGCAATTATACCACATCTCCGTATTTTCATATTGGCTATGTCCTGGATCCAATGTAAGTTTTTTTCAGTTGTCTTTAGTTTTGTATGTAATATTTTGCAGTAAGTTGTTTGTCCTCTCGTCATTTTGCCATTATTTTGTCGCTCTATTTTCGACTTATGAGTTTCGAGTCTCCTTTTGATATTTCCCGCCTCGTTTTAATTATTGAAGGGGTAGGAGTCTGCTTTATCTTGTTGTAACTATAAACAACTATTGTTAAAGGAAATTCAAATCTATAAAGATAACGTTGTATTTTGATCTTATTGTTTATGATTAATGAAACAGGAAAATACAGCTAGATTGTTTCTTGTACATCTAACCATCAACAAGTTGTTCATTCAAATATCATGAGTGGAAATGTTTTCATCTATGTTTGAAATTGTTGGTTGGCATACTCTTATGCGTATTTCTGTTTAGTTCAAAGTACAGAAATTAAGCAAAACAAAATCATAAATAGAAACATTTATAAAGGTTAATTGAATTTGACTGCATAATGGATACTGATAAAGTCGTTAGCTGTAACGAATATCTGCTGTTAGTACTAATTACAGAGACAATGACGCAAGCAATATGAAGTACACAGAAGAACGGACGAGATTCAAGTTTAATTTATTAAATAAAACATATTATACTAACAGTAATGTCATGCAAAAAAGAAAGAAAAAAAAAAAAAACAAAAAAAAAAACATTAAAATAACTCTATTTGTTTTTTATCGAATTAATCAGATTAATGAAACCAATTCTAAATTCCATGATTATTGTTTTAAAATAAGGAATCATGTTATTCTTCAATCTTCATTCTGTTTCAATCTTTGATATTAAGGTCAAAGACGAACCAAAAGGTTTGAATAAATGGAAATTTGTGAGTAATTCGTACATGTCCGTGCAGTTATTAATTTTACTATAGTCTGTACTAAGCTGTAATACAAATGTATGTAATGATTTTTTGGGACGTTGCTTTCAGAATTTTTTATATAAAATCTGTATCTCAATAAGGGCTTTTATCTTCGCCTATATATATGTGACAAACATGTGTAATTTCTTCATTCTTATGCGACCGTTGGTATTAACAGCTTTTAAAATAGTCGATTTTATGAGGATACTTGAGACTACAAGTACATAATTAATAATACATGTAATGGATTATACTTGTATGTCCGATTACTAACATATCACGTTGTCAGAACAATAGGCTGGCTTAATCTCGTTAATTTGTGTCTAGTAATGAAATAATAATTCACTCCTTCAAACGAATTTATTAGCCTAAGTGAATATTCCATTAATGGTTTATCATTATTGAAAAAATAATTTAAGTCTATTCTACGGAAATGGTAAGATAGTTGTTGAGAAAGCAGTAAATCGTTTCAACGCATATATAGCTTTTCTACACTAGGAAGTTTGAACATTTGCAAATGTGGGGTCTCGTGGACCTCGTAGTCTAAATACTTTATCCACGATGATCTATAGTCTGTTAAAACTGAGATTGTGAGTTCGAACACCGCTCGTGGCAAGGTGTGTTCGACTCCGATCTTATTTGACTAGCATTGCTAGTTTTCCCGCCGAAGGGCGGCGGCCACTCCATCAACAAAACCTGGCCGCCATGATATAGTCACGTGTATTGAATGTGGCTTTAAACACAAATATAATTTATATAAGTCACATTCAATCACTAACAAATGATTTACTGTATATAATACATTTAAATGTCAGGAATAGCAATACAACAACACGAGGAAATTTGACATACAACTTGTAGGTGTTTTCTTGTATGATTGAACAAGGATGTTTACCATAGAAAAAGCTTAGTTGCAATGGGTGATAATAGTTTAACCTAGCAACATGTGCCTGTCCTATGTCAGGAGCGTGTAATGCAGTGGTGGTCGTAGTTCCCGTCGGTCATTCTTGTTTTTCGTTAATTGGTTTGTTATAAATCAGGCCGTTCATTTTCTCGTTTGAATTTTTCCACATTTTGTCACGTCAGTGGCCTTTTATATCTGACTAAACTGTATTGGTTTTGCTCATTGTTTAAGGCCGTAACGGTGACATAACGTTGCTTGATTACATCAACGTCATTTGGATTCTAGTGGATATTTGTATCATTGATCATGATATACCACATCTTATTTCTATAAGGATATAAAATATTTACTATATGAGCTAGACAAGATATTTTCCATTTACATTTAGTAGCCTGTACCATTACTTTATTCACTACTCATGATTAATTATTATTTTTTTAGAATGAATATTTGGCTTTGGCAGATCAACTTAGTGAATATATTGTAAAATTACTGGACAAAGTCAGAGGCCATGATGAATTAGAAATCCTTTTGAATAAGAAGGGGCGTGATAGTGACGATGAGAGTTATGAACTTCTTTCACGATTGAAATTGGCAATACATTACAACGAAAAGAAGGTGAGATAATAATGTGTGAAAACTTTAGTTTTATGGAGCTATTTATTGTTCGATTTTGCTGAGACTTTGGCGTTGATGTGAATGAGAAATATTTAAAAAGGTTGAACATATCTAAAGTATTGACCAATCAAAATCAGATATGAAGTCATGTGCTATGAAACGGTGAGCTGTTCGTGCTCCACTAGTGTTTCTCCTTTTATAGCACGTTAATGAATCATTTCCGGTGATTAGGCACTACACAATAGGGGATTTGTAAATGTCTCTCGTCTAACCCTTATAGGCATTTTCTAATATATAATCCAACGGGTCATTCAAATTCTCTATCCTTAATATATGAACGAATGTGAAAGTTCGAAAAAGAAATAGTTTTTCTATACAAAAGATACGCAAGGAACACAACACAGAAAATTAAAGCAAAAGCAACATAGACCCCTTTAAAAAAATCGAACTTCAGAAATGGTCAAACCCAAAAACAAACTGAAAGCCGAAGATGTGATTTAATACGTTAGGGCTACATGTACAATCTAGACATAAAATATTAAACAGCCAAATTCATTCAGGGGCATCTTTGCCTGAGAAAAGAACACATTGCTTTACAATATTTACATTCATCGAGAAAGTTCATAAGTACATTTGGTCTGCCGAACCTTTTGACTAAGCTGGGGAATTTGAATTAAAAAATTAATTAATTGTGAGCGTTGTATGGAACTAGCGTTAAACTAAATTCCGAGATTGATTATTGTAATGTTCTTTCTGTTAAATTTGATTTCCAATTAATAAAAAAGAACAATGGCGTCGATTTTTTTTTAATAAACTGTGAGTGTAATGATTGAATCGTCCTCTTGAAAACAGATGGCGACGGAGCAGACGTTACCCCAAGAGAAACATTAACAACCGAAGCGATCTTTTATTTAATTTATTATATTAATCTTCTGTTATTATTGTCTTTTAAATGATTGATTTTTGTTTGCCAATTTGTTTTTTAATACGAGAGGGTAAAATGAACAAAAAATTGTTACACACTGAAACACTTGTTAGAGTAGAATGTTAGCCTCGTTTTCACAAATACAAACTGTCATTTTAACTTTTAAGTTATAATAATACACAAACCTTTTAAATCATGAATTGAAAAGATGCCCTTTAAATGTTTGAAAAAAAAAAAAAAAAAAAAAAAACAACGTTTTAATAATTATAATAAAAATAACTCATCAAAGAAATTTTGTAGACGCGCGTTTTGTCTACAAAAGACAAATAAATTTCGATGTTAAAGAGCGTCGATGACCAAAAATATAATTGCTGTGGACATATATTTTGAGAGAGTTGAGTGTCACAAGAGAACAAAAACCCACTAAAATCAGTGGTCCATATATTTATTAGAGAAACATATTATACCACACTCCACCGTGTATTCGGATATAAACGATCACAGAAAATACCCTGTATGTCAACCATGTAATAATAGTGAATTATATCCCTGACTTATTAAACAAATATCACAGAAATAGAACGATAAATTTGTTTAATGACACAAAAAAGCATAACAGGAACACCTACACTAATTGAAACAATAAACAAATGTCACCGAAGCAGTGTGGACAAACTTAAACTGTTTAAATAGTGGAGTCGATCTGTCTACAGTTATAAAATTTATTTAATAAAATTTATGTCTGTAATAGAACACATCCTATCTCAGCATAATGACGGCCATTTAACTCTCTAGTAAAATTAACTTGAGATATGACAGCATAAAATAGCTATTACTAAATTTTGAATCATAATTATGCAATAAACATTACAAAGAATATTTATAGTGGCTGCATTCAGTATATTAATTCCTAAACAATGTTATATGAAATGATTCGATAACTAATTTGATTTGATATACCAAATGCGCTTTTTGGTTGATTGTTGTTTACTTTAGTCCAGTAGCAAATAGTGCATGCATTATCAGGACGAGGGGCTTTTCGAATTCAAATATTTCTCACATAAAGTAATACGTATATTACCTATAATTGTTTACTTTTTATACATTGTGACTTGGATGGAGAGTTGTCTCATTGGCACTCATACCACATCTTCTTATTTATATTAGAATAAAGAGCAAGAAACCGAATGTGACACACATTCCAAAGTCACCAAAGCCACATGTATATCGTAATAATAATGAAAATGTCTTGGGTATAAATAAAAAAAAGTAATATGCTAGTACAAAAGCACTGTCTACAAGACTGGTGATAATCTCGCATCTTAAAGAGCCATTTGATCGACCTTGTGAAATTAATTTTTTTATGCTGATACTATTAAAGTCAGTGCATTGACACTTCAGCTAAGTTGTTTTATAATATGATGTACAAAAATCTTATTATTTTATAGTTTGTAGCCCATCCAAGCTGTCAACAGAAGCTGGTCAGTATATGGTACGATGACCTGAGGTCACTTGAAAGATCTAATTGGTTCTTTAGATCTATGATGGTGGGGTGTGTTACCATTACTTATCCTTTCATTGCGTTACTGTATATGATAGCACCAAAGTCAAAGGTATAGTTTAAACGTATATTGTAAAATGTGTATAAATGCATGCAGATTGTATACTATTGATATTAAACATTCCAATGTATAACCTATAAGGGTTTCAATCTCCAATAACACACAGGAACAGGACAAAGGGTTAAATTATTTCCGACATCAAGTTCTCGGCATTTGTTGTCCACCTTTTTGCTTTAATATAGTTTGAATATGTCTTTTTCTTTTGCATATTTCCTGTTAGCTACATACTTCAGGTTCGAGGACTCAACATGTGATATGTTTTCGCGGTCTTAGATCTTTAAATTCCGGAATAGGCGTATGATCTGTACATTTACCAATTGTGTCATTTTCCTAATGTTGTCAATTTGGCTGAGTGTGAATTCACATATTGGGTGACGCACGCATAGAAGGAGACGCTTGGTCTTTTGTCGTTTGAAGTTCATGAAATACCCTCAGGTGTTGTGTTTTTTTGTTTTTGTTTTGATTTGTAAACTCGGAAGAGATGTTTTCCTACATGGAAATCTTTTAAAAATTAGTCCGAAAAAAACTTTGACTTATTTCTGTAAACTATAGATTTTGTTACTGCCATTTTAGTTGTGTTCAATAATGTTTTTTTTTCTATTTCAGATTGGCAGATTTACAAAGTATCCATGTATTAAGTTTATTGGTCATGCTATATCATTCATAACTTTTCTAATAATGATTGTTGTGTCAAGTGTATCCGAAATGCCTAATATAGCAAATAGAAATTTTTCAAGGTACGAGAGGAGCACGGCGTTTGTGCATTATTCAGAATTTAGAAACAGTGTTATAAGTAACCATGCTCAAATACCTCAAGTATTGCCCGAGGACTTTGCATTGAGGACATTTAAGCCAGAAGTTATTCATATGTTATTGACAATCTGGATAGTAGGTAAGCACACACAAATATATCTTAAATAAAGGCAACAGTAGTATACCGCTGTTCGAAACTATAAATCGATAGAGATAAAAACAAATCCGGGTTACAAACTAAAACTGAGGGAAACGCATCAAATATAAGAGGAGAACAACGACACAACAAAAACACAACATTAAAATGTAACACACACAGAAACGAACTATAATATAACAATGGCCATTTTCCTGACTTGGTACAGGACATTTTAAGAAACAAATGGTGGGTTGAACCTGGTTTTGTGGCATTCCAAACCTCCCGCTTTAATGGCAACGTCAAACACAACACCAAAACGACAACATCACATGACAGGACCACAATACAAATAAATGGGAGAACATATAGGACAAAGAAACACACGAATAATAGCTAGCAGAAGGTACTAGGCTTAAATTTCAATAAACCAGACACCAGACAGAACTTAACAATATAAATTCAAACTTAATGCAACATGTCATACAATCAAAACTAAGGTAAAGTATTGAATTTGATTACCAAGTTGTAATGATTTTTGTGATGTCAATGCTGACTTAAAAGATGACTTTTAATTACCTGCTCTATTTGCTTTTTCGATATACTTTGCCAATTAACATGAATGAAATGATAAAACAAATATTTATGTTAGCAAAGATATTCTTAGAAATTAGTATAGCGAAATATTAAGTCAATCTGTTTCTGTCCTGAACATTTTACTCATATGAAAAAGTCATGCAATCAACAATTTTCAATTAATAAACTAACTGTGTCAAGCCCTTTCCATCTGATTTCTACAGTTTATTCTTATGTTGTGCTTTCATACCACCATCCAAGGTTTGAGGAAAGGGTGAACGATTAAATACATGTCCAAACCAATCTAATTCTTTACGCGTGCGTCCTAAGCCAAAAGCCTGTTATCAAATGGGTTTTGTTGGTGATTGTTGTTTACCACCATTACTTTCTCTAATAATGTTTAGGTATAAATTAAGGCAACAGTTGTTTACCGATGTACATATCGCATAAATAGATTGAGTAAGAAGACAAATCAAGGTAATAAACAAAAAACCGAGGAAATCGCAATAGCAGTGAGACTGTGTGCGTCGATAGGGTTAAGCGTTTCTTGCTATGCATGCATTAACTGCCATGTGCATTCTATAATCTGATGTCAAAGATTGTTTATGCGTGTGTCTAAAGTCTCATACAATTTGATCAATACCTTGCCGCGTCAATTTTGTTTGATATTCTGCTACTGATTATACTTAATAAATCTTTACGTACCAATTGCCACAACGATAATATTCTTTTAACACTTAACTTAATATGTCTTGTCTAGTTTTCGAGACGATTTCTGCAATTTGACATGTATTTATCATTCAATTTCAATTGATATGCAATTTATTACATGAAATTACATGATACTGCAAATAAATTGATATACCATACGTGCATCTTAAAAAGATGTATAGTCAGTGGTCTCCGGAACCATTTATATATACTCTGGAAATATACAAATAAGAACGCCGGGAACTTCCAGTAAGCCAGCCGTGATATATATTGAATGGTAACTATATATAGTATTACACGATTCCACAGTTTACTTGATCATGTTGATGAAATGATAAACTGTGCATTTCAAAAATTGTACTTTTCGTCATTGGTACTCGAAGACATATTGAACATCTAAAAAAACACATTAATTGAAAACAATAAACGTAATTCTAAAAATCAAAACAGGCAACACGACCAGCTAAGGAGCATCTTTACGTATATATCGGATATAATCGTAACATTTTTATAAACAAGCTTTACTCGAAGTTTCACCCCCCTGTCTGTCACCTTAAATTTCCTCAAGTATAAGAATCAAGGTACTAGTAATAGTCTGCTAGTACCTAAACACTGGCTACTGGAACGTTATAATAGCAGTTAAAAGCGAAGGTGGTCGGTCATAAATGATAGGACACTGTAATTACATAGGTTAAGTTGGATATTGTTAATAGAAAGAGAATCTAAATGTGTATAAAATTTGTTTTGAAGGTATGCTTTGGCAAGAATTAAAACAAGTGTATTCAGAAGGTTTTTATGACTACTTCGACTCATTGTACAACTACTTAGATGTAGCTGTTTTAACGCTGTACATAACCTCATTTACCATGCGATATGTCAGTATTATGAAGGTAAGCGTTTTTCAAAATCGGTAAATTGGTAGATTGTCATATCAAGCGTAGATGAGTGAATATTATCTAATATGATTATCCTCTAAAAATAAATATTCTTTAATTATTCAAATTCCTTATTATTGCGTTAAACCAGGCAATTGATATTATGTTCACGTGAGTAGACGGGGTTTGAGGAATCATTTCCGCACATCATCCATAAAGTGAAAATGTATCTATTGTTGTTTGCTGTGAATAAATTTATCGTAAGATGTCTTTTAAATTTGAAGAAATCCATAGTATAATAGTTCAATAAAGAATATATTGGAGTTATCTTTCTTTGTACTGTTTTTTTCTTAAACTGACACCATTTAATATAAGTCCTAGAATAATGTTGTCGTGCACCATGTCTTCAACCTGGACTGATATTTTAGGAAATGCAATGCCTTACGCAACATAATTCAATAAATCACGTACCAAGGATAACTATGACGTTTAAAGCATTATAATTGGGCATGACGGGGTCTTTCCTCAATGTGCGGTTCGGTCAGCATAGATCGACCTTTACATTCTTCCTCTTGGTTTTTGAACCATTATAGATTGAAGTATGTACTGACAAGCTAGTTAAGTACAGTAATCTGAGTAAGAAGTTATGGTGTTCTAGATTGAAAAAAGGATTATAGTTAAACGCTTAAAAAGATGATTCCAAGATATAAAAGCATCTGTAATATCAGTACATGTATGCACAAGACATTTATTTGAAAAACTAGGTTCTGAATGGATGAAAAAATAAATAGAACGAAAACATGGCGCCACCATCTGTAGAAAACTATTGAAAGTCACGCCAAATCTGGAAATACAATAATAGAAGAATTATTTCTTCTCAAAATATAATTTTCAGACTCCCTCCAATTTTCATTTGTGTGAAAAGAGTAAATTACTAATTATAAACCGACATTCGTGTTACCTTTGAGACTACATTTGGTAAAATGTTTAGACAAAATAGTGTAACCTTATTTCAAAGAAAGACAATCAACTAAATTGAAAGAAATGAAAAGAAAATCAACAATTCTGAAAATATTACTCAAAACTTTAATACTGTAAAATAAAAGTAATTTGTGATTCCTGGAAGTTCCTACTCAAAATTGTTTGATAAACACTGTATGATAGCAATAATTACTATGAGTACAAACAATATTATAAATACTTATATACAAATTTTAGAAAATAAAAATAAAATTAAAGAAGTATTTTCAGGTTATTCAATCTATAGATTATTTTGAAAGTCAAGAACATTGGTATGCCTTAGGAAATGGATCTAAAAAGGCAGAATCTAACTGGTACTGGCTTCCTGCTGGTAAGTACGGATAATGTCGGATATACAAATTAAAATGAAAACAACACGTTATAAATTTGATGCGTCCGAAGCGCTTTTCTGGATTTACCTTCATTGGGAACGCTCAAAGCCGAATATTTGAAAGTCAAGGATGTATAAGGACCGAAAACGTTGCAGAGCTATAAACATAAAAGGACCTAAAAATAGCCAAATCCATCTAAGGGCAACTTTGCCTGAGGGAGTTGAAACCTCAGTTTCAGCATGATTTCAAAATTTATGAACGGGCAATTTTAGATAGTTTGTTATAAACCATGCCAGTACCGAAGTACTGACTACTGAGCTGATGATACCCTCGGGGACTGATAGTCCACCAACAGAGGTATCGACTCAGTGCTGTAAAAAATGAAAACAACACGTTATAAATATGATGCGTCCGAAGTGCTTTTCTCAAAACGTGATATATTGTACACCTTATAATCATTAATGGTGGTGAAGAACTATTCAACACATTTGGAATATCAGTATCGCCTCTTAAAACTCGTAAATCATCAATTTTGATTCGAGCGTCACTAATGAGTCTTTTTAATCCAGGTATTTATGATGAGTTTATTAAATATTTAATGTTGAAGGAACTAAAAAAAGGGCAATTTTCCAAAAACAAACCCCAAAAAAACCCATAAGAAATGAACAATAACCATGCATGACTAAATGATGAAACTTATGACACCAGATATTACGAATGCCAAATCTGATTTTATCAAACGATTACATTTAAGCAAGTTTGTATCGGTCAGATACTTTATATAAACTTGGTTACACAACCAAGTAAGCATAGTGCAAGACATACAGAATTGTACTCTACTCAGGCAGTACTCGTATACTTCAGTTCAGCATTTGATTTACGAAAATAGTAAAAAAAAAGTACCAAACTCCAAGGGAAATTCAAAACGGAAAGTCCCTTATCAAATGGCAAAATCAAAAGCTCAAACACATCAAACGAATGGAAAATAACTGTCATATTCCTGACTTGGTACAGGCATTTTCTAATGTAGAAAATGGTGGATTAAACCCGGTTTTATAGCGAAAGACAGTCGAAAAAGGGATATTTAAACTCATAAGTGTAAAAGAAACTGTCAATGCCATGGCAAAAAACGAAAAAAAATCGATCAAAAGACACTCAATTGATGTACAAAACACAACATAAAAAAAACAAGACTAAGCACCACGAACCAGTAAACGATTACGTATACATAAATAGACCGTATTTAGATATAAGAAAATGTGGTATGAGTGCCAATGAGAGACCGTATTGTCCATATAAACGTAATGCACGATTGTTAAAAAGGTTTAATTTTTATACAGAAAATCTTAGCCTTTTCCAGTTTGATTGTATCATATCGTAAGATATTTCATTTACAGATAGATATTTTTGGCATGCTTTGGATCCACACAATATTTCAGAGGGCCTGTTTGCCATAGCAAATATTATTAGTTTTACACGATTATCCTTCCTCCTACCAGCAAATGAATTATTTGGACCTATGCAAATCTCACTTGCAAGAATGATAACCGTAAGTTGCTGCTTGAGCATGTTAATTTTTTATTTATGATATGGAATGTTCTTTTTCTTATAATAGAAATCATTTTGAACGTAAGTCCTATTTAATCTGACAATAAAAATTCACACAAAGATGTTGTAACTTCTTTGTGCCTAACTACTGTAGTAATTTGATTTTGTGAATCATAAGAAAAAACATATGAAGTTTCTGTCAAATGTTCAAAAACTTCTATTTGATTTGTATAAAACTTAATATAAGATTTGAACATATGGTTGTTCCAAAATAAAAAGCCAAAGTATGCTCAGAATAGGAAACAACTGCTCGCTCAATATAGCACTTAGTTAATACTAATTTTAGTAGACTTGTAGTCCCCATTGTTTCATCATATTAGTAGTAAATGCATGGGTACTGACATGCTTAATAACATACTTTTTTTTCAATTCTCCTTTGATAAATTAAAGACATTATTAAGATACTATTGTTTCAAATCCCGCAGGCAAAGTTGACATAAGAATAATGTGGCCTATCCTGTGTGTTCAGTTAAGTCATATAGGTCCTTTTGTAATCATGTACTTAAGAAGCGTTTGCTTTCGAAAAGGGTTTGGGCGTTCCAGATTATGGTAAATCTAGAAAGGCATTAAACCGGACATAATTCATAAAGTGTTATTTTCATTTATTGGCGATTCCTTTTTTTCAACAAAAAAATCATGTTCAAGAAAAATCGAATTTGGAAGAGATGGCAGATTATATTATCAAGCAAAGGACAATAATTTTATGTTTGTGATGAAAATGAAAAGAAGCGTGCACTTCTTGGATTTCTTGGATCTTGTGTCATGTTACATATAACATATGTAGTAAATAAATATTTACATACATCAACCAATCAGTTTGTAGAACTCGTTGGTGTCACATTAAGTATATACTGATTCTGGAGGACCTTAATTTGCTTTCCGTCTTTTATTTCAAATTTTTCCAATCTGTTTGATATATACTAATATGAATTATTTTATCCTCATTTATTTGCAGGACATTTTAAAGTTTGTTATAATATTTCTGGTAGTATTTGTCGCCTTTATGGTTGGTTTACATAACCTGTATTGGTACTATCCAGTTGATGTTCGATCGCAGGTGCAGTTTGGGACGTTAAGCAGTAATATATCAGCAAAGGCTGAAAACCATTTTGGAATGTAAGTTTTATTCTATGATTTCTTTTTAAATTTAATTTATTTTACCTTTTAAGACAAAAGTCTCGAACAAAACATTAACATAAGTTGTATCGCATTTTATATCGCAAAATGTTTTGCTACGTATGTATGTACGGATGAATAAAAACAAACAAAAGTCGTATGCATTTTGAATTGATGTAAACATCTGTCATCAACAACCGATAACAATAATGGTGACGCTTTCAAAGGCCTTGGTGTTAACCTTGGTAAAAACTTATCTTAATTGAAATACTAAAGATGATAGCTTTTATTTTAGGATTAATCACTTCATATCACCAAATATATTAAAAGAATAAATAAACATTTTATTATTTTCAGTATTGACAAGACATTTATAACAGTATTTTGGTCCTTATTTGGTCGTGGGGATCCTGATGTAGTTGAACTTGGAGATTTTGACAGTTACTTTATACAAAATGTTGGCTACGTGATATTTGGTGCCTACAACATTTCCACAGTTATCGTGCTCTTAAATATGTTGATAGCAATGATGTCAAGATCATTCGAAATAATTCAGGTTTGTATTTTTTTTGTCTTAAATGTGAACTCATAGACAACATTTTCTTTTATTTATTTTTTTTAGAAATCGTCGTTGTCATTGTTTTAATCATCAAATTAATATTAATCAGCGTTTCAATCATCGTCATCATCACAACTGTCGTCGTCGACCTCCTCCTCCTTCTCATCATCATCATCATCATCAATAATCATCAATCATCAGTCATCAATAATCAATCATCATCGTTTATTCAATTTATATAAATTTTTCAGGAGGAGGCAGACACAGAATGGAAATTTGCTAGGACAAAATTATACATGGAATACATTAGAGATGATGCAACTCTTCCTATTCCATTTAATATAGTTCCAACTCCAAAAGCACTTTTACGAATTTTCCAATTTTTTTGCAAAAGCTGTTGTCCACAAAAAAGTGAGGCTGATGTAAAGCCACATCCGGGGAGAGTAAAGGATAGAGAAATGTTTAATAGTGCCAACAGTCCTGTAAGTTTCATGGTACAAATTGTTTATGTATATAAAAGAGTAGTCATGAAATCTTATAGTTATTTTGTGAAAATGCGTCTGAATGGGGGAGCCGAAGCATTTTTATAGTGAAATTATGATTATAGAATTTGTAGATTTTAAATAAAACAAATAATTTGTAACTTTATATGCACTATTCTGGAATTTGAGCGGCGAAACAAATTGTCGAAATTGTGCATTAAAATTATCGTTTATGTTATAACACTGCATATATGTTCAACAGTATGCTCCTAACACACGCAGAATGCAACGACGTAATAGAATACACAAGTCATGTACATGTTTATCTGTCTCGTTATTTTCAAGTGTAATATATTCCACTTAATGTCAAGCGCACTAACTTCCAAGGGAGGGAAACCATGCATATGTATGTGTTTAATGAAAACAAGAGGCCGAAGATACAAAGGGACAATCAAACTAAAAAAACTCTAAGAGAGATGATTTTCAAAAGAAATATTGTTTTCACCTCTGATCCAAATGAGGGAATGTATACGCGTTGTCAGTAACTTTAATGTTTTTACTTCGAGTTTGTCGAAAAATAAAACCTTTGAAATTTCATGCACATAATTGTTTGAAATTTTCGTCAGTGAATGTAAGTCATAGTTTCTTAATTATTGCAATATACTTCTTATGGTTATTCTATGCCTTATTCATGTTATTAAACATTAAACATTTCTTCTATTTTCTACATCCTATTTTTTAACACATTTTTCGATATCTTTAACAGCAAGGTAGAGTCAACAACATTGAGCGGGAGTATACTAGTGAGCAAAAGCTAACAATACATCTTATTTGAAAAAAAATGACAGTACTTTCTTTGCCAAGAAATGTCCATGAAAGGGAAAAAAATAAACTTTCTCTAATGTATTGTTTACAGATACAAATATATAACATATGCTACTGATTTTAATATGGAATCTACATGTATTTTGGGAGACAATAATACGAATAACTCGCAGGAATATTAACACAAAAATAACCAGGACACTATAGTTTTCTAAGGAAAACTTTACCTTAGTTAGTTTCAATCTATACAATTATATAATTTGTTTATGGGAAATTTATAATTATTGATGCCAGTATTGACGAAAAACTATACTTTAAACGTTTGATACCGATTACACTCGGTATTTCTTTTATCACATTATAGCACTCGAAAAAGAGCAAAAACTGGAAGCCAAATACATGAACCATTACCAAAATTATCTGCTTTAAAGTTTTATTCACCTAAATTATAATGATTCTGGAATTGGGTTCAAATATTTTGTTATTTTATTTTTTGTATATATTAAGGCTGCCGAGGCTGCAACGGCAGGCTGGGAGGAAAATCGTAACGGGTCAAGTGAACAGTCAAAAGGAATAAAGCGTTTTCGGGAAAGAAACAACACTACAAATGGTTTTGTACGTTGTGACTCAGATCCGAATCTTGTCTATGTTTCCCTAACATACAAGGTAATTTATTTTAGTATTGGTGTTCAAACGTCTTTATTAGTGTTTATTGTGTTTTAACCCTACATTGACATATGCAAGAACATTTTTTTTTATATTAAAGTTATAATAATAATAACTTACAGGAATAGACGTAAAAATAATGCTTAATGTCTTTCAGTCATTTCAGGACAATAGAATATGTCAGTGATGTATACAATATAAGTTTGTACGAGACCAATATTTGTCTCATATTTGCGCATAGAGGACAATAAACCAATCCACCTAGACACTTTATTTTCTTATTCCGATCCTACCCGTCTTTGTTCCCATAAATGGAACTATTAAAGTGGAGAAATATCAACTACATACGTAAGGCTTCACAACTTTCAATAGTCTAAGCAATCCTTTTACTATAATACCATAGCGGCAGGTCGATAAAACAAAAATGCAGAAAAAAATTGCAGTCGATAAGACGAATAAAAAGGATACAACTGAACAATGAAATGTGGAATTTGCATTCAACCTGTATAAAAATGAAATTTATGGCAACCTTGGCTTTTACCTTTGGTAAAAGTTTTCATCAGAGCCTTTAATCAGAAATGCTCAAACCCAAACTTTTCAAACGAAGGATGTATGACCAAAAGGAATATATATATAAATTTATCGGTGTTTCCACGGTCTATATCACTGTGCTCAGCTCTTCATATCATTGTATATCACGGCTTGTGACGTCAAATACGTTGACCTGGATTTATTAACTTTGACCCGGACATATCATTGACGACATAATGAATGAACCTACGTTGATAAGCTTGACCCAAACTTCTCACGTCATCTTTCGGTTTGCTGGTGAAGCAAACAAAAACACTTGTTTCTTTCTTGCAAATACACAAAAACAATCCGATAAATCAATTATCAGGTTGTCTGCATAACGATATTGTAAAATATCAGCTGCTCGACACAATATGGTGCTTTTTTGAACTCGTTCGCTGCGATCACTTGACAAAAAACTTCATATTGTGACTTGCAGCTCATATAGAATAAGAAGATATGGTATAATGGCCAATGAGACAACTATATCCGTAAGTATCCGAATGTCGCTGATCGGAATTTTGTTTTATATGAAATTGGATACAAAACAATAATATCGTTTTAATCCAGTGTACAATATTTTTTAACACAACCCTATTCATCGGTCCAACTTCGTACATGTACCCTAATTTGATTCCATTTGAGAGCAATACAATGTATGAACTTAAATATAGTAAAGTATTGCTGTAACACAAAGCTTTACTTGCATTTTAGATCACTATAATACAGTAATTTGGCTCAGAAGAAACACCGACATAGCTAGATAATACAATTAATTATCTAATTACTACCACAATTTGATATTAATAAGTATTGTAATTTTCATTGTTATTAATAAATGTAATGGCAGTATTACAAATCTATCTTGAATCAATCCTAATCCTATCTTATTTTTGGGAAATATTTTTACAAATTCATATGGGACGTCACTTTGTGTGTTTTTTTAGAATTTCAAATGTGACGTCACTTTGTGCGTTGAGGCTTTAGCTAACTCGGCTGTGTATTTTTATATGTTGGATTAAGTTGTTTTATGTAATGTATCCGTTTTTATTCTGTAGTAGTTAGTCCCCACTTTGGTTTTATCATGTATATCTATTATATAGTCATTTTATAATATTTACTGTTTGCAAAATTATAAATTATTCTAAATAATAAGGATGTTCTTGTCCCAGGCAGAAAATCCTGGCCGTGTTAGGCGCAACTTTTTGGAAGTTTTGGTCCTCGGTGCTCTTCAGCTTTGTACTTGTTTTGGCTTTCAAACCTTTTTTATCTGAGCGTCACTGGTTGGTCTTGTGTGGACGAGACGCACGTCTGGCGTATTGAATGTTAAGCCTAGTACCTTCTGCTAGCTATTATTCGTGTGTTTCTTTGTCCTATATGTTCTCCCATTTATTTGTATTGTGGTCCTGTCATGTGATGTTGTCGTTTTGGTGTTGTGTTTGACGTTGCCATTAAAGCGGGAGGTTTGGCATACCACAAAACCAGGTTCAACCCACCATTTTTTTCTTAAAATGTCCTGTACAAAGTCAGGAAAATGGCCATTGTTATATTATAGTTCGTTTCTGTGTGTGTTACATTTTAATGTTGTGTTTTTGTTGTGTCGTTGTTCTCCTCTTATATTTGATGCGTTTCTCTCAGTTTTAGTTTGTAACCCGGATTTGTTTTTATCTCTATCGATTTATGAGTTTCGTAACATACTGAATATTGCGATCGGGAACCAGTCTACGAACAGCGGTATACTACTGTTACCTTTATTTGTATTAAACTTGAAAATAAAGTTTTTGTATCATTAAAATAATGTAGGTCCATTTTTTTTCCCCACAAAAGTGTTACAAATGATTTTCAACATCATATGTGGCTTAAACAAGCATGTTGACGTGTATAACTTCTGATCATACAAAACTGTAACATGTACTATGCATATTGTGGATTTAAAAACGTTCAAATCCTGGCTAAGGTATTCAGCAATGTTATAGATGATGGTCTGTTTACCCTATTTTCTGAGGGATTTGTTATGAACAGCTAATTAGTATTTCCCTGACAATGGCTACAATTATACACACTAAATGAACGGAAAAGAATGTTCATATATATGTATTGACAGTTCGTGCCCCCAAGCAATACTGTATTTCAATCTTTGTAATTGACTATGAGTATGACCTTATATTGAACGATATGTGGTTAATATCATCTTCATAATACTTTTCAGAGAGTAATGAAAAGAATTGTAAAGAGATACATATTTGATGTCCAGAGAGAAGATGATGCAAGTGAAGGTTAATATTGTTTATCTGATTATAGTACACACATTAAAATTTCGACCAATTTTGACAATAAATGTTTCTTCAGTGATGTCCAAAGCCAACGTATTTGAAAATCCAACGCATTTTTATAAATTGAAATGCTGATAACACCAACAAGGAAAAAACGTATAGCCAAAGGAATCTTAGTTTTGAATGAGGCAGACATATCCCTCTAAATATTGTATTGAAAAAAAGTCTGTTAGTACAGCCTCAAAATCTAAAATATATTATCAAATTGTTTGGGGTTTTATAGTGATCTACAATACGAAATTTACGTGAAAATGTAAGTTTTAAAAAAGTAACAATGCATATGAAATGTTTTATAAATCCAAATTCCTTTGTCTTTTAAACGTTTTTAGTAAACAAAACCCGCCATAGATTGGAACATAAACTGCAAGATCTTTATCACTTTGTCATTAACAAAAAGGATAACAGGAATAACCAATAATTTTGGACCTAATGATTTTATTTACGCCTAATGAGCCATTACCGGGTCATTTTCACACACAAAGTTGTACAAACGACTGGTTCCAAGTTAGATGCTTCGACCCGGTCATCAGGGGACGGCATTTAGCCTTGCGTGGTAAAAAGTGAAAGAAGAGATAACGAAAATAATGTACCATAGACTAGAACTTTAAAGAATAAATGGGTTCTCAATTTGATCGTAACATTGATTTAAAATCAAGTATATACCTGAATGTAACATGTGAAAGAAACTTCTGTTACAGGCAATTACTCATGTCCTATTGCATTGGATAACATGTGATGATTAGCATGAAACAATCAAATGATGTCACTATTACATTGTGTATTTACACCTTTTAAACAAGATAGAAACACATTTATACCATTTTCTACAAAAGAAAGTGCCTGTACCAAGTCAGGAATATGACAGTTGTTTTCCATTCGTTTGAAGTGTTTGAGTTTTTAATTTTGCCATTTGATAAGGGACTTTCCGTTTTGAATTTTCCTTGGAGTTCGGTATTTTTGTTATCTTACTTTTTACAGTTTGCTAAAAAAAAGGTTTCAACAAAATGTAATATGTAGGTGATAGAAATCATCTGTAAAATAAATTTACAAAGCAAGCAATCAAAGGCTACCAACGAGAGGCGGAAGAAGCCGAAGGGATATGCAAACTCATAAGTCGAAGATGAAATGAGGACGCCATGGCAAAACACGAAAACACAAACACAAACAGAAAAGATGAACAATTTAGGCTCCAACTATGCTATTCAGAGTGTTGCTTATTCTATATAAGAAAACCCTCAATGCTATTTCGCATTTGGTGATGTCACAATAGGGGGAAAGAGGACCGGTTAGGAGTCGGAACAAGGTACAAAATACCTTTAAAAAACTATTTGAAATGAAAAATATATATTCATATAAAATAAGGAGATGAGGTGTGATTGCTAATGAGACAACTATCCACCAACTAACGTGGATTTAAGCAAGTTTATGTCACCATATGTATAAAACGACGAGCAAAATTCATGGCATAAGATCAACGCTAGCTATGAATGGCCCCGACATGACGAATTGTGAAATAATTCAAACAAAACAAAACCAATGGCTAGATTATCATTAAATGCAACGGAAGAAGTCAAAGGGATATTCAAACTCATAAGTCAAAGATGAAATAACGACACCATGACAAAACACGAAAAGACAAACACAAACAGAAAAGATGAACAGTTTAGGCTCCAGCGACTCTTTTCACAAAAAAACTTACGATTAAAATTGATCGTAAGTTATACTGAAATGTGTATGACTTACGAGTATTTTTACTCTTAAGATTTTTTGTGAAAAGAGCCGCAGCTTAGTTTGGTTTGAATTATTTCACAATTCGTCATGTCGGGGCCTTTCATAGCTAGCGTAATTCCTATTTCGCACAAAACAGTTTATGTACTGCTTGGATTGTATTTTGTAACATCTTTTTTGCAATTTATGGAAAAGAAATGTTAATTTTATTCTGCAATGTTATTCTCTTTGTAGTTGATTTTGACGAGCTTAAGCAAGATATTTCCAGTTTCCGATACGAAATGCTCAATTATGTGTCTAAAAAGGATACAAATAATGAACTGTTAGCAGACAAAATGAAATACTTAGATCTAAAGTTGAATCAACTTATTGATCAACAAAATGTGTTAATTACGTCCCTCTTGAATATAAATAATACGTCAGATCAATTCAAAAGCTTAAGTCTAGCTTCCAGTATAAGTACTTGTGATTCAGACGTTTTATCGAGTAGTGGAGATTCTTTTTCAAGCAAACGGAACATGGGAAATGGTACATGTTCAATGTTACATGATATTGCAGAAGAACACATAGGAGATGCACCAAGCTCATCACCTTCCGCCAACACCTCTAGTGATGTAAGGCAAAGAACTCCATCAGAAAAACGTAGGAACTTTCACAAAGATGAAAAGGAAATTGATTCTGTTTGTACGGAACAAGTTGAAATGACTGTTTTTGACAGAGAAGACTTGAATGAAGTTGTTGTAGCTCATGATGACTTATCTTCATCCCTTTCAGGGTCCATTCATGATTTCCATTTGTAGTTTCAATTATCATTATGACTAAAAGTGCCTGCAATTGTTACAGAATCTTTTCACAAGAAAGGTTTAGTTTTATTGGTTTTTTTTGTTTTTTTTAATGGGGGGGGGGGGGGGGGGGGGTAGGGGATAGGATTTCAAGGTTTAAAAAAAGTTTGTTTAATGATTTTTTGTCAAGCAAATGCCATTTCATTTATACTATAATAATATAATGCTCGAATACGTATAGAAAGAAATAAGCTATTTTAGGAAAAGTAATAATTTTTGTGAATATATTCATCATGTGGTTGGATTTATTTTACCTCCATGAAACTTTAAAATTAAGTTAAAAAAATAGTATATGAAACTATTCAAATTAAACAAATACTTTCAATTGAAGAGTAAAACAGATATTTAATTATTAAAAGAAAAATTAAAGGTGAAAAATGGAACAATTTGGCTTACGCATGTCGAGAAATAGCAAATAACAAATAAATGAATAAAATAACAAATATAAACAAGATTTGTAATTGCAAACAATAACGTATGGCTCGTTCCCCCATTACCAGGGTAACGGCAGCCATTTTGAAAATTCCAAAGTCAAAGAGCGCATCAACACATGCCAAATAACATTTTTGTAAAGTTTCTTAAAGTTTGGAGCATTTTGGAATTTTGGACATTTTTGCTGTTTCCATGGTAACGGCGGATATTTTGAAAATTCAATACCCCGATTGCAAATCTGCATATGCTGGTTAACATTATTGTATAGTCTATTAACATTGGTTCATAAAATTCCGAGATATAAGCTGGCTAAAAAAAGTGGAAGAAAAAAAAAAATAATGAACTGCTTGCAGAATTTTTTTTTTCTCTATTATTCTTCTTTATCATTCTTGAAAATTTACTAACATGTTCTTTAAATTATTCATATGGTTTGTTTTGCTAAATTCAATAAATACACTGTTTCGCATATTATTACAAAGGCACTAGTATATCACTGAAATGAATAAATAATGTCACAAATTAAAGGCTAGGGTAAATATTTTGTGAAATGGTTTAAATTTAGATGATACATTTTTTCGTTATTTTTGTTGTTAAACTATAATCCAGATTATCCAAAGGCTGTACTTTCTCCTTTCTTGCTATGTGCATTATCTTACCTAAAAGTATAATTTCTGTATTCAGTACGCTGTGATATTTTATAGTTAAACATTTGAATATTGTTACCTATAAAGGTAAACACGATGCCTTATTAAAACACAAACTTACATATTAAAGTGCTTAATTTGATGTACCATATACGCATTTCAAATATTAATATATTTTCAGTATAAAGTATTCAAAGTTGAAAAGCCAGATTGATAGTATCACCTCAATGCATGGGTGCTTAATTAGTTTAGCAGGCTTAGGATATTGTATCCATGCTAAGGTACAATAACCCCATAATTTTCACAAAAACATTTGCATGTTATCTTTAAATTTATCAAATATCAATATAAAGTAAAGCAATATGAAAAGAATACAAAAAAGTACACCGAAAGACTTGAGTCATGTTTTATCAATGCATTATGATGGAAATCCTTTTATGAATAAAAATAAATGTATACTTTATTCGGAAGTTTCACATAAATCCCTTACATGTTACGTACCAAAGATGTGTATCTTCGGTTATTTAAAAAAAAATTAATATTAGTGAATTGGAATCAATATCCAAATTTGTCTGACTGAGCAAATTGTATGATGATATATTTTATAAAGTTACTTCATATTCATATTGAGGGTAAAATGCCATTTACATCAAGGACGTATGCCATTGTCGGTTGAATAATCCATAGTATAGATATGAAATTACATGCCGTAAGATCAAACACCCTTCTTGCAATTTGAAAAACACATATTCAGGTGAAATTGTCAAGTTTCGAAACCTTAAAAGAAACCGATGAAATTCTTAAAGAAAGGTTTGGCAAAATATTGTATGATCGGTCATTATAAATCTGCCATCCATCATATAATATTGTAAATGCATGTATATTGAATATGGCATTCAAGAGTACATGTTTCATCTAAGCCTATATTTCGCTCCACTTTCTATGCATGTACATAACTACCTTTTCAATTCGATCAGGAAAGTCATAATTCTTATTAGCCGAGGTAAGCTTATACGACAAATCACCTACCTCCGGCAAGACGTTGATCAATTAAATCAAAAACCGACGGATCATAACAATTTCGTTGAATGTTGACTGAATATCTATTGTTTATGACGTATGTCGCTCAGAACGTTTTTGTGGCAATCTGTATAGTACATTAAAATCCTGGAAGAGATGGTAACGCAATTCTCATCAACGGGATAATTAAGAACTTTGACTTTGTAGTATAGAAATTGGTACAAAAAATGCAAAATATTTGAGGGCAATATTATTGCACACTATTTCATGAAAACATGTGTCCTTTTATTAATTCATCCCCAGCTTAAAAATATTTTAGCATTTTAAAAAGAGAGGGTACCTCTATTGACGTCTTTTTTGACAGAAAACAAAAATATCGGCGTTTTTCATTGGGTTGTTACATATATCTGAACATCAATTATGTAAGGAGGGAATTCATTATGAATTCTAATTTGGCGACACTAGTCCTTTTGGGGAAATTTCAAATGTCATGCACTTGCAACATATGGTTATTAGTATGTGAACAAGCTCAATTAAGGTTTTCACCACTGTTCATATTTTGATTTTGTCTGAATTTTAAGCGGTAAATGTTTTACAAAATAATGTTGATGTTTCAACATTTTGCTACAGCAGTTAATGTAAACAATTTTAGTTCTAGATTAATTTTGAATATGGCTACTTTTAAAATACTCATTGATGCAAATTCGATTTTCTCATAAGAGACATTCTTTCGATTATCACTTGCATTATCCTCTAGCGAAAGGTTTCCTATCTTTTACAGCAGCTTCATTTATTTATTATATGATATTGGTAGGAGAAAAGTACCTTGGAAGTATGAATGTGTAAAAGTTTGTATCTTTGGATAATTCAGTTACACTGCTTTTTACTTGTACAATATAACTTGTATTTCCAGCATTTTATTCACATTGTATCCAAACAAGAACTATGTTATCTCCTGGAAATATTGTTTGACAATCTGTTTAAAGTTTATTAAATTTTTCAAATTATTGTTAATATGATATTTTAAATATTCATTTTCATTACAATTTTATATTTTTTTCATTTTATATATTATGCATTTGTTTTGTATATTGTTGGTCAAATAAAAGTTTTTATTCGAACTGTTGTTTTTTTAAATGTCATAAATGTCATTATTCCTTCAAGACTTTTTTGGTTTGTTACCACAGGGGGAGGTGAAGATTATATGCTCTGTCAACCTTTTTATGTACTCCGACATAAAAAGGATCATATGTTTTGTTACTATTCTTGATTAACCCTTTTCTGGCTGTTTACTCAACAAAATAAACTCAGATCTGTACTTCGTGTCTTTTTTGTTCTGAGGGATCATGTATAAATACCCTGCAACGTCCGGTCTGTGTTTTTATTAGATGTTTTTCTGCTTTGTATCGATCTGATGTGTTAGTCCTTTTACAACTGATTTTGATAGTCTATTCTTATGTTGTACTGTAACATCCAGTCCCAAGTCAGGAACCTGTAATTGATTGCTGGTTCTAGTATTTGTTTATCGTATATTGTTTTGAATAGTTTGTTCTTGTGTTGTGCAGTTGCACTATTGTCCAAGGTTAGGGGAAAGTTGGCGCCTTCAAACATGTTTAACCCCGCCACATTCTGTGTGTGCCTTCATGTGTTCATAATTTGTCCGCATATAGGAAAACACCTTGCAGATTGAATTTTCAGGTAAAAATAACTTTTATTTCACCAGCTTTCTTAATTTATCGCCCAAATTGTTCTAAAAACATGATGATTTCATCCTTCTCATTTTGTAAATAGTCAAATTTAAGTATCTTTCCTTCGACATGTGAATTACACAGCATATTTGTAAATACCCGCCAAAAGAAATTTTAAAGACAACATAGTTTAGATCCAAGACGGAAAAGACTGGAGTATCCGCAAATGTGATATAATTTATATTTTCAATGTACAACTAAGGGCAGTAATTTAATCGAATGGGCCAAAGTCATGTGGTGCAAATATGAATAAAGTACCCAGGACTTTGAAATATGCCTAATATTCATAGATATTTTGGTGTTTTTTTTACTTACTGGTTCCCAGATATGATCTCTATTTTTCATTTCATAAAGACACAACCTTTGGAATTTTACCAGTATAATTACAGTTGGATATCAGTCCATTTGAATTCTTAGGAATACTCAAACTAAAGGTAGGAGCAGAATATAATTTAAGTATAAGTATAAACTTTGGAAGTTCGAAGCATATAAATGTTGAAAATATGCCACACAGCCCTATGATTGACCTTTGAAAAAATAGTAGTTAATGTGAACTTTCCGTTATAGGATTTATATTTTTCCAAAACTTTATAGTAAAAGTAAACATGGCACAGTTTTAGCCATAAAAGCAGTTCCTATGAGAAATTGCATTGTCTATATAATAGAAGTGCAACCTTCAGAGATAGTGACAAAGATGTACACAACCAATAGCAAAGTATTTAGTGCCAAACAGCAAAAATAATTTTTATTGATTTTATAGATATTTGTAAATATTTTGAAAGATATTTTAAGTATATTATTAAGAATTTTATTATTCCCAGTAGGTTTTCACCCATATGTAGAGGTAATCATCTATTGATTGTATAAAAATAAAAACTGCTGAGCTATCACCATTTTTGATATAGCCTTTCCATCCTTAAAATAGTCTTTTTTAAAGTTAACCCATTATATCATTAAATTTTTTTGCTCTTAAAATGATGCTAAGTTTATGCTTTTCTAAGACTGTTTATGAGCCTTTTCTCTCAATCTGTATGTGTATTGGTTGATGCTTGAGAACATTATTTATTCATTAGTTGTATTTGACTTTGAACTAGCTGGCCGTCGTTTTTTTCCTTTAAAATTATTTCGAATCTTCTCTGGCCTTGTTTTATTTTATTAAATGGTATAGGTTTTGCTTATTGTTGAAGGCCGTACTGTAA